TAGTTGTACTTCACCCACGTTACCAAATCACGCCCTGAATTAACTTTATCACGCCATGCGGTTCCTTACTAGATCTAGTTGACATTTTCCAAAACTCCGCATTTATTTCAGTTACATCCTGTAATAATATATCCAAAAAACAGGAAAACTTTTGGTCTTCATTTTTTGAAACTTTACTGTTTGCTGACAATGTCAAGGTACAGGCAGTATATCGCCATCTACTGACAATTACTCAGAAACTTTTTCTGAATAACGGAAATGGATAATTTTTTTTATTGAAAATTAAGAAATTTAAAGAAGTCTAGGTCAGACTGTCTCGCTTTGATAATACTCATATTAGACGTGGGCAAAATAGGTGTCCTTAGTGAACAGGTTTTGTGGTATAATTAGGGTAAGTCGCTTTTTGGTTTATTTACGTTTTCACGCCAGCTCAGTGATGCAATGTATTTTTTGTAAGATTTCCGTGGTTTCCGCTATGATTGGCTGGTTTTGTGATCCTTTACTTATGACGTTTCCATTGAGGTATCAGTCCCCCCCCTGGCGGGTGTTGCCCAAAATGAAGCCAATGAAAAAATGTAACAAAAAAATTTTAGATATATATTATATAATATAAATATTTGGAAGGAACGTCACTGTATTTTTACAATTTAAGTTAACAGCATCTGTTGTAAGCAAAACTACTTTGATATCATTAAGCACAATGTAGACTTATAACAATGTCCATTATTTCATAGGAATATACATATTTATTACGGCGTCGTAAACTCGGACTAGGTAAATTTCATAAAAGCCAATGAAATTAAAATTTTTATTGTCTACACTGCAGCAATTGTTACAGAATATTTGAAGTTATGAATGCTTGCATAGTCGATATTATAATATACAATTCAGCAAAACGGAAAACCTATCAATAGAATTAACTCATTTTGGGGATGATTTTTGTCCTCATCCAGTTAATATGCAGATTGTGACAATTTCTAGCGAACTATCAGTGATCAATTCGATACTCGATACCGTTAGTCACTGCGTTTTTGTCATTAACAATTAATATATAGTGTCTTTAAGCTGTAATATAAGTGAAACGGCGGCCAGGTCGTTTTGAAGAGAAGCTCCCATAAAAGCTGTTTATTCCTTATCGAAGTTGGTTTAATAGAAAGTGAAACTTGTTTTTAAATGAATTATTAGTTTTTTTGTCTTCAGTTCTTAAAAAACAAGCTACTATTTATTAAAAATTAAAATAGTATTATTGTTATTAGTTTTTACTACCTAAAACAGAGTTTTATTTCAGTTTTATTAGTAAATATAAGAAATCAGTCTTGTGAAAGTGAGGCCCGGGCCTGTAGTCTCCTAATATCGAATTACTTTCCTAAAAAGCTGACGACGTCCTTCAAAATATCATTTTGTTGTAGAAAAGGAAACGTACTTATGATATTTATTTGGAGATCTAGTGTCAAGAACTGAACAGCTGAGAGTTTTGCCAAACGTATTAGTTTTGATACTTTACTTCATTTTGTCGATTGTTTGTTCATTGACTGTTAGAATGCTCGACAGATGTGGAATTTACGACACTCCTTCTAAAGTTGGTTCCGGAATACTTCAAACTTTGTTATAAAAAAAAAAGAACTGAGTTAGGTTATGATAAGATTTGCTTTCATTGCAAATTTAATCCTGCAGTTGATTTTTGTTATTATGTTTGCAGTCGAGCGAGCGAAGGCGCTCACACTGTTTAAGTTAGGGTTAGACTTTATTAAAATGCTTTAGGTTATGTTGACAGCATTGCAAAATTCGCAGCAACTTCATGGCGGGCGTCGTAAACTCTACTTTTACCGAATGCTCGCCTGGAATACAGGCAGGTCCGGGTTTTATTCCCTACTGCAATACTTTTTGTCCTTCCGAATTTATCAAAAAGTTCATGGTGGTCAGTATTCCGTCGAAACCGTCAAACGCGGATCACAATTCCGACTTCACTGGATCTCATCACAAATATGTTCAACAAGGTCTATAAGGATGTCGACTTGTTGAACTTAATGCTGACTACCATGAACTTTTTGTTCTGTATTATTACGTGCTTATCATGAAGGGTTAGCCACGTTATGGATTCAGTTTGCCTCAGGCGAGTTAGTTGTGAAATTGAGGAATTTGTCGCGATGAAATTTCACCACATGCTTCACTCGGAACCTGGTAAGACTATTATTCAGGTGTTTGTTGTGATGCATGAAAGTTTATTGTGGCAAAAGTTTACGACTAGGAGAATTTGTAGTAAAGTTTGGAAATTTGTCGTGATAGAATTTCACGATATACTTGTGAGATGATCGATTTGCAGAAAAACCTGTCGGAAGGCTTCACTTATTCTGTAGGAATTCGTTATTCGACCTAAGTAAATTAGTTGTAAAGTTGATGAATTTGTTGCGACGAAATTTGACGACTTATTTACGAAGGAAGCCATTTTTTGATGACTCGTAACAAAGCTTATCCGGGAAGGGGCAAGATTTTATTTATTGCGCTTGAATTCGTTCGAATTTGCCGTTCGTCCCAGGTGAGTTTGTTGTGAAGCTTGGAAGTTTATCGTGAAAAAAATTTTTGACTTGCGAATTGAGCGATTTTTTTGACGATTCGCAGGAAAAACTCTTAGAGGGGGGGGGGGCTAGACTTCATTTATCGCGTACGAAACACATATAGGAATTTGCCTTTTGCCCCAGGAAAATTAGTTGTGAAATTAAAGAATATGGAATTTCACGACTCATTCACGATAGAAGTTATTTTTTGACGATCCGCTACAAAGCTTATCTAGGAACAGGGTAAGAGTTTATTAATCGCGCTCGAATAAATCATGCGAATTTACCGTTTGCCCCAGGTGAATTTGTTGTGAAGTTTAGAAATTTGTTATGATAGAATTCCACGACTTACTTGCGAAATGAGCGGTTCTTTTGATGATCTGCAGAAAAAGCTCCCGGAAGACTTCATTTATCGCGCGCGAAATACTTGTGGGAATTTGTCGTACGCTTCAAGCAAATTAGTTACGGAGTGGAGGATTTTTTCGCGAAAGAATATTTCGACTTATTTGTGAAAGTTGGCTAATTGTTGTTAAAAATATTTTTGAATGACGATCGTTTTAGGTGTTTGGCTAACTTTATGTCATGTTAGTAAAACATTAGAGCAATATTTTTTAAAAGTAATAAACGACCATTTTTTTTCGCAGCTATAGTTAACAGCAAAATAAGCTATCAGCCACACTATTGCGAGATGTGTAGCTAATTTTATATACTCATTGCGATCTTATTTGATCTCATTATCGCACAGTAGGACGATTCGATAAATTATTTATTAATAACTTAAACGTTCTTAATAATTGACTTTCGTGTCTATTATATATGTAACTAGTGTAACTGTCGTCGAATCATTAATACCTGAGTAATAAGGTCTTGTCTAACGCTTGAAATACTTCAGTAGCAGAAAATACCCACGAGATGGCGATATATAACTTCTACTGGGATATTAGTTTTTCTACATCATAATAATGAGTTTTTAATTTTATAATGGAGTGTAGGTAGTCACAAATTACACCGTACTTTCAACTATACTTTAACTGTACTTGGTAAATGTTTTGCTATACACAATTATGAATATTACTGTTCTGTATATTTTAAAGTAACTTGTAGTATGAAATGATATGTATTTGCACCTTTTTTTATTAAAGACGACAAGCGTATCTATGTATACATAGGTTCACAAACAACAATATGATGCATGGTACAGTTACAAGGATTTAATATGTATTTTCCAGTTCCAATTTGTGCTTCGAATAAATGCAGTAGTTGTTTTAGTTTTGAGTTACATACGTATTTCTAAAGCGTATCGTAATGGATCAATGTCAACATGACGGTCATTACCAGGGTTTTAAGGGATAAAAAGTCCACATGTGCTCCAAAATCGGCATTCACACAAAGCAAAAAATATGTACGTTCGTTCGAAGTTGAAGGTCATTAACAAGGGATTATCGGCCAAACTGAGTTTGCTCATTAAAAATTCGATTTTATTTCGAACAATATTCCATTATTCACATGCAGAATGGTTTATAAAGAATGGGATTTGCTGGAATGCAGATTCTGAACATCAAAACGTTTGGCAAAGCCAACCACGCTATCTAGCGCTGGGAAATCATTACAAAGGTCGCTCACTAAATGTTAAGCTCCAAGCTAAGATCTCCGCTTTCTCAAAAGAAAAGTTGATTAAAATTAGTATTATAATCGTCAAAACTCGAGACTGGTGTAGCATACAGATACACACCCCGTGGAAAAAGTGTAGGTACAATAAAATGACTTAGAAATGCCAGAAGAAATTCAGGATGTTAACTCTCTGAAAATTGAATTAAAGTTTTCGTAATTATTCGACAAGCAAACATGAATTTTAGATTCAAAATTGGCAGATTATGTTACTTATAAGATGACTACGTTAAGTCTACATACTTTGTCGAAGTTTCTAAATCCTTGTGATTACGAGAGAAGTTTAATGTTAGGAAGCGCGACATGGAGCTATTAAATCAATAAAAGGACTCTAGTTCAATATGGTAGGCATTAGATCAGAAAACAGCAATAGCAATTAAAACTGCCAGTGATAACACTCCAATTATTATTTTACAGATGTTTAGCAATACTGATTTTTCTTTGTAAGTGTAAAATTTCATTTCTAAGAAATTGTGTAGATTATCTAAAGCGACAAAACAACACCCTAAAAAACAATAGTTGTACTGGATATTGTTAGCTATTTACATACATGTATATTATAAATTGTTTTCATCTGTTTTCTGGTCCAGGGGCGGCCTTACCGATTGCAAGGCTCCGGCCTGGTAAATCTTTGACAAGGGTCTTGTTCTTGTGGAATTAGCTTCACTTGACGAGAAATGCAGTTATTAGTAAATAAACTTAGAGGTTTAAAATTTTTTGTGACTACGTAAGTTTTATAATGCGTGAAATCCAAATAGACATTAGTACTATTAGTACCTCATATTTTTCTACTTGGGTTGTTACGCGGGTGCGCGTGGTCCCTGCAAGAGTGAGGCCCCGGGAGGTTGCCCTGCTCGCCATCCCCAAAGGCCGCCCCTGTTCTAATCTATTCCCTTCTATTACGATGCTTTGCAACACGACCTGCAAATTTCTTTTAGTTACATGGACTATGACATTTGGACATAGTATACCAATTTTATTTTGAAAAATATTTTTTTCCAATGTTTTAAGTAAAAAGCATGCAATCAATCTAGTAGATATATGTAAAGGTAGAAATTATTCAAAACTTATTAAAAAATATCAATAGTTTCGGCTTTTACTTGACGAAAACTTATCATAATTACAAAAACACTACTTCAAAAGATATTCAGAAAAAGTTTAATGTTAAGGGAGTACTCTTGTTTAACGAAGTTAATATTTGGCGAAACATATACCTATAAAAAAACAATAAACTTTTTGTGAAAATCGTCTGAAGTGGTGTTGTCTGATTATTGAATATTCTTGTTTCGCATCTTTATAAAAACACATAAAAGAAACTTCTGCGAGATTCAGTTTTATAAAATATTAATACTGGTAGGCGGGCAGTCCCTTTGACCTATACTCCAGTACAAAGTTGGAGGTAATAGGTCCTGTTCATGTTCCATTTAATAATAGTGGAAGTAGATGGGTAGAGGTTGAATTTGAAAATTGTTGCAGAACTTTTGAGGAACTATAAAAAAAGTTTATTCCAGTTGTATATAGTTATGTACATAATTATAGCTGTTAGTGTGTGTCTGAATCATCGCATTTTTATGTTTAGAATCTGCATTTGTCCTACTCGCAATCTCTACGTACCACCTTGTATAAATTTATTGATTTTTTCGCAGTAACTTCATCATTCATTAGAATTAGGTTATCTCAACGGGAAACGGTTAATCTCTTGGAGACTGGTAATAACTGATCTATTTTAAGCATCAACATCAATTTTCTCATTAACAAGTTTTATTCTTTAAGCGAAATACAAAAATGCAGTTCATTTCATGATCAAATACACCAACAGATCTGTAAGTAGAGTAAATTACGCTATTTTTTAAATATTAATTAACGTTTTTAGTGGTTTAGTTGCCTGTTTGGAAAAATAAAATTTAAAAGTATTGAGTTTTCACTATTTATTTTTAATAACCTTTACATTTGTTTTGTCCTAGTAGGATGAAACAGTTGTATGATTTATCTTTGGGGGTATTTGTATAAACCATAATGTGAAACCTGCCGTGAGTGTTCGATGGTATGGCCGTCGTAATTTTGCTTAGTGGGTACATATAAACGATTAAAACGTACTCGAATCGCAATATGAGTAAATAGCGAAATTTACAACGCGTTCGGGGTATAAAATACAAGTGCTCGATTTCGATAATTGCTTCATCAGATGATGCATTTAAGACAAGAGCAGGAAGCTAGCTCGTCGTATTCTGTCTTTTTCAATAGATAGGTAGAGTAATGTAAATTCACATGTGTGTCACGTTAGCACATCACGCATTCAGCCTCCGCACTGTACTGTACGAGTACATAATTTATAGCAAATTCGTAGTAAATATGTACTGAAAAATTAATTTGTAGAGCCTATTATATCGGGAAATAAAATGATCTGCTGGTGTGATATCGTTCTAGCAGATCATTCACTGTATTCGTTTCTGCCGACATCAGGCTCTATTTTGTAGATAATTTGTAAAGAATTAATTTTGTAGAAGTTATTGCACAAATTATAAGCTTCCCTGCTCAAGCAAGCGGGTTTCTTCAATAACTGCTTTACAGTTGAAGATACCAAAAAAAGTTTCCTACAAAAGTGGTACTATATAAGTATCTTCATATCCTAAAATTATTGTTGATTATACGGACTGTCCCATTCTTCCTGCAGACAACCTAACTTCTTTTTTTCAAATGGAATGCCCCAATTATTATTGCCTTGGTCGGCGATTCGCTTTTATCCATCTTTGGGTCCTACAAACGTCTGCCGTGTGCTTGATAAGGTGCTAAGTAACGTTTCGTTTTATACGTTGTTAATTTCTGGACTTTTTGAGTGAAGTTAAAACGTTGGATACAGATATTCATTTCCTTCCGTACAGGCAGACTTAGGGTACTTTGGAGGTACAGATTTCACTGTTCCGCTAGTAACAAACCCCTGTAGCACCCTGCGGAAAGCATCTACATGAGGATTACATCTGTTTGGATATCGCTGAGCATACACTCGAGAGTAAGAGGACTTCGCCTGCATTACCCAAGGACAAAAACCATATCTATCTTTTCATCTTGACTCAAAGCCATAGACCAGACAGTTCAGAAACTAACATCGTATAAAACGGAACGTTACTTAGTACTTTATCCAGCATACGGAATTGACGTTCGTAGGAAACAAAACTGGATAAAAGCGAATCGCCGACCAAGGCATACCAGGTACCCTGATATAAATTGGTATTATAAAAAAGTTTAATTTTCTCAAAACATATTAGTCCTAGATAGTAACATCCCTATATTGGACGAAAGTAAATGAAATTTTACACATGATGAGCTGACAAAAAATATGGCATTTCATTAAAAAAAAAAGTAGTTATCCAATTCGAAGCAATTTATTTTGGAAGTGATAAATTCAATGAATTTGAAAAGTACCTACATGTTTGCGTTAATAGTGAAAATAGTTGGCCATTTTTTCTACAAGCTATGTGTGAAAATAACACATCTCTGTGTGTGCTCTTGTTTCGGAGATATTCAAAATGGTACAGACCACTGCAACAGCTTATTTATTGATTTAGTGGAAATTTTATGGAAATTGAGACATTTTAGAGAAAATATATGGTTAACAAAATGGTATTTAAATTTAACGAGGAATTGAAAAGTGCAATAACAAATGGGGCATTCCATTTGAAGAAATGAAATTAGGTTGCCTCCAGGAAAAACGGGACAGTCTGTATAATCGAAAATAATTTTAGGATATGGAGATATATAGTACCACTTTTGTAAGAAACTTTTTTGGTATCTTCAACTGTTATTGAGGAAACGCGTTTGCTTGGGACATCCTGTGTAGACTTGGGACTGCCAATAAAAATAAAGCTTTGTGTAATTCATGGTAAAATATTAATGTCAAAGCGTGAAGACATGAGATACTTTGAGTTTTTGTAGCGTTAATTTAGTAATACCAGGATATTTACACAGGTCTCCAGTTTTCTTATTTCTAAATTTTTTATGACATGATACATAGAGGTACGATAGTTCTAGTGGAAAACCTCATGCATTTTCTTATGAAGGCTGGTTTTAGTAGTTTTTGACCGATATTACCCTATGCACTGCTGTCAGCGATTGTTAGCCATTTCTTAGGTGCTTCCCATTAGTACTAACTACGGGGCTCCATTATTTAGCCGGTGCTGTCATCTGATTTTGAATTTCCTGCTACTGCTGCCGCTATAGTTAGTCTTGATGCCATTACAATTTGTTTTCCCATCATTAGACGTTTCTGCAACTGCCGTAGTAGTTCTGTCATTTTTTGTCTGAAAAAACGCCTTGGCCTGGAGTTGGCCTCGATCCTAGTAAAACGCTCGTTGTTATTGGTAGATCGGCGCGTTCGCCACTAAGCCACACAGTAACGACGGCGATAGCAACGTTTAATGGTGGGAAGACAAATTATGCCAGCATTGGGACTAACTATAGCGATGGTGGTAGCCGAAAATTCAAAACGGACGACAACTGCGGCTGAGTAATGGGTTCTGCCTCGGAGTTAGTATAGTAGTGAAGTTGGCTAACAAAACTAACAATTGCTGACAACTGTGACGTCAGAGTAGTAGATACAAATGCTAAATACATACTTTTAAGTCGTCAGTATTTAAGTAATACTTTTATTTGAAATACTTAGCAAGTATGTTAAATAGTGCCATTATGTGAACTTAATTATTTCTAAATAATCTAAAAAGACATCCTTATTATCACTAAACCAATTATCAGCGTAAGTTTAGTGATAACTATTGTGTCTCATTTTTTTTTAGTTTATTTTTTCTTTTCTACACTCTCAAATTTTTGCTTTTAATTATTTCCATCCGGTTTATTTCAAGCGTAAATATTAAAGAATGTACTTTTATAGATAGTAATGCAAAAACATTAACGTTTTCATAACTGCAGCTTAAATTAAAATAGGTATTAAATTTTACTTACCCAAGAGGTACCACTCTCCATTCATGATGAAATCCGATAAGTCTCCACCTTCTTCATTATTTAGCACCAGGTCGAGCTAAGCAAAACTCAAACATGAAATTGTACTTGATATATTTCTAAATATTCATTCATTTATGCCACCTTCAATTTCTATAATATAGATACTTTATAAGCATGCAAACACATCTAAATTTAATTAAGGGTTTATCATTCCGTTGCTGACTTCCTCCAATAAATGGCATAGGCCACATTGAGCAAATTGTATATAAATATTGTTTTTTATTTACGTACGCAGGCAGATACTTTACAAAATGGCAAACTAAAAAAAGAACTACGTGCAAAGTTCTTCTTTGAAGAGAATAATTTTCGATATAATTTATAGATTACTTTTTGTTTTTAAAACATATAAATTTGCAATGGTCTTAGTATATTCTTGAATCATATATTACTTCATTTTAACAGCTCTAGTGGGTTTAGCAAGGTTGCCAAGATTTGAAATAGTCGGGATAACCTTTTCTACGAATCAGGCATAAGCTCGCTTAAATATCAAAAGGTAAAAAGATCTCGCGAGATTACAAAAAGTCCTGAATAAGTAAAACCAGCCAAATAAATTGAAGATAGTAGAGAAATTTCACGGTTTTTTCGAGACTGGCAAAAAATTAATTTCAACTGAAGAAAACGTATGTATTCAACTTTCCTGGTAGTTATTATACTTAACAATTGATTCTGAGTAAATTTTAATAATGTATCATAAAGATTTGGAACAGTTCATTATTGCCACGAGAGCTATGAAAGTTTCGGTGGTGGTTTACATTGGGTGGGTTATACTTCTTATTAATGTGCGAATATTTAAATTAGTTGATAGGTAACATCATATTTTTAATCACAATAACCAGTATATTGTTCGTTTTAAAATTTTATTTTTCGTTAACGTATAGAGCATTCTTCATTCTTTATCAATTGTATCTCAATTTTTTCTTCTTGATTATTTAGGTTTTCAATGAATTAGCTTCATCTGCTTATGTTTCTTGTTTCTTTTTTTTCTAATACAAAAACATACAAAACTAAAAAGTGTAGTTAATATTTAATTTCGTTTATAAGCATATTGTTAAATGGCAGTACTGTTTGATTCCTGATATTCCTTTACATTTTTTTCTTTTTTTAACTCTACTCTAAAAAAACTTTTGATTGATTGTCATAAAAAATTATTTGTAAGTAAATGAATACTTTTTTCTGAATTTTTAAAAATTATTTCATATTAAATTATATATCATTGTATAAATTGACTGCACAAATACGAACGGGTAATTTCCACAAGCGTGAACTGCAAAACGAGCGATTCGAGTGCAAAACTTTGCATCATCCGATTGTTCATATTACGTATTGGTTTTATATACATGCTCTCGGACTTTTTTTGGTAATTTAATGCTCTGACCATTTTTCCCTATCTAGCCTAGTTTTAAAAAGATTTGCTCTTTTTTTAATTGAAAATTGTTCTTCAGTTTAAATTGAAAATGTCAATTTAAAAATTTTGAACGTGTTATTTTAATAATTTCTACACTATAGTGGACTTATTATGGGCTGGTTTTTGCTTAGATCAAAATTGTTTTACTTTATTTGTTATTACGATGTACAGTGGCAAAGTAAACATTCGCTAAAAGATGTGCACCATCTGCTTGAGTGACAAATGGTAGTAGACCATTGTCCATAATTAACAATAATATAAGGAAAACTGTAAACTTGAAGGTTAGATTATATCGTTAGTAAGTAGCCTTAAAAATCAAGAAAACCTTCCAAACCATTACCTAACCTTCAATTTTACAAATCTGTTAGATATAAATGATGAGCTATGGTCTACTAACAGCAGTATATACACATATAAGTGCAATAAGAGACATTTAACTGTAAGTATGTGACGCCAGATTGCTAGTCTTTGTATAGGGTTTTGTTTTTCAAAATTACACTGGCGCACTAATATTCGTTGTTTGATAATTCTGAATTGTTAGATGTTTGTACTTTATTAAAAATATGCATAATTTCTGGCAATCAGCATTCTGTTAAACCTTCTAGACGTGGATACAGATTTCCAACTCATTGGTTTTCAGCAGCACGCCGCACCGTAGAGAGCTTTGGCAAAAAACTGACCAATCACCTGATGCTGGTATTAGACAGCGTTCAATAGGTAAGTACAGACAGCGTAGTGAACACTATCTGTGAGAGTTTTCAACTTATTAAAGGATTCAAAAATGTTCAACGAGGACCTTTTCTAAAAAAGGATATCGACTTGTCATAGTGGCAAATACGTTCAGTACGCTGCGCTGTCTGTAGGTACTTATTCATTCGTAAGACGTTGTACTTTTTTATGGTGGGTCAGCAATTAATCAAATTTCAGATTGGCACTCTGATATTCTAATTGATTGGAAAATGATATGTTATTAATTTTTTGAACTTAGATAGTTAGACCATTGAATTAAGTGTTACGCTACAAATCTTGGCCTGGAGTTGGCCTCGATCCTAGTAAAACGCTCGTTGTTATTGGTAGATCGGCGCGTTCGCCACTAAGCCACACAGTAACGACGGCGATAGCAACGTTTAATGGTGGGAAGACAAATTATGCCAGCATTGGGACTAACTATAGCGATGGTGGTAGNAATTAATCAAATTTCAGATTGGCACTCTGATATTCTAATTGATTGGAAAATGATATGTTATTAATTTTTTGAACTTAGATAGTTAGACCATTGAATTAAGTGTTACGCTACAAATTACAAATGAAATACTTTTGAACACAGTACCGTTCAATCCAATTAAAGAAATAAAATGGGCTTTAAAATAAATTAATAACCTTTATAGAAAATAGCAAATAAAGGAACAGTTGTTTCAGCATGAACCATCATCGAAATTGAACTAGTGTTTCTTGACACTGTCCGGAGTGAAACAATTTTTGATTTTATATAGGTATTAAGTGTTATTTTGCAAAGTTTCCGAAAATATAACAAGTAAATGCATTACAATTATGTATGAAGTCAGCAACAGTTATAGAAAAAAATATAGTAGATACACATATAGATTGATATAAATGGATATACCTAAAAGATGAATAAGTATACAGGATTACGTACATAATGTATCAAAAATTAAAACAGCAATATGTGTCAATAGCTTTCTCTATACCTTATTGCCATTGTAAGTCCAGCTACCAAACTTCATTTGACAGTGTTGGTCATCGAATGGAAACCACGTAATGTCTATCTTGCATGTGCTCTTGAAGATACCCGGAGGGACATACAAGCAGCTGCCGTTATGTTTGACCACAACGTTTGTTGAATAAGTCCCGTCGAAACCCTCATGCGCACTTAACAATACACATATATCGTGTTAAAAATTAGCGACTTAGCGCAGTAACATTGAAAACCACCTATATAATTTATATCAGCAACGAAGCGCGCCCGAACACGCATTCAACAAACATCAATGCAACATCGAAATCAACGTACAACACTTATTTAGGACTACGGGATCCACGAGCCTGTAAGATTAGTTGCTCAAATTTAAATCTTCCCACAAAAAGATTTATTAGACCACAAAAGGATTCAGCAAGCATACAAAACAATGTTTTATTTTTTATTGGTTTCCCAGTAAATGTATTATCTCTTTGTTCTTTATGCCTTTCTCTTTTACAGAATCGGTTTCTAATTTCCCATGCAGTGATGTGAGTCCATCTGTCGATCTGTGCCATCGAATGCCGTAGTTTAATGTCGCATTCGGAAGAATATCGGCCAAATTGTTCGAGGTTTCTTTCAAGGATTACTACATAAAGACAGTATTATTCTACGGATACTGTTTCACTTCTCTTCTGCTTTCATTTTGTTCGTCTCTCTCTAACCACCACGTCCCACCCATACCCTCGGCTTGCACTAGAAAATAGGTCGATGGGACAGCTCGTCCACCAGCATCGGCTGGTGGGAATGAAACACAATCACTCTTATGTCTTAGGCATTATAACAGCTCCACAATAGATGAACCGACCTCAATAAGATGTCGTTTTTATTTCAAAATTGATATCTGCCAGATGCAGTAAGAAACATATACAGGGCAAGTCGTTTGTCTTGAGAATATCTTAATTAGTTCTGAATGAAATTTCTGAAAAAATTTTAGGCAAAACGAAAGTGAGTTTTACCTTGAACTCTAGGACATCTGACTAAAAATGACTGGACTTTTAAATAACTTTGAAGGTTAAGGTAAACTTTTGTCAAAACTTTTTAAGAAATAATGAGAACAAATTAAAATATTCTATTGCTTCGACATAAAAAGCTCGTCCTGTATGTGTTCAGATGTATGCCCGTAGATTTTTTGTTTGTCCACTGCATATTCTCTTTAAGAGTTATTTCCTGAGTACGGCTCTAGTTTAGCTCTGATTATTTAATAATTCTCACGATTTCATTCAGCAGTGAAAATCCCAAAATAGTGCATTGTGCAATAACATGAGAAAGTGACAGATTCTGATGAGCTGGAAGCTGAATAGGATCGTATGGAATGCCATGTTCGCACGAGAAAGAGTGAGGAGATTGCTGCTCGAGACGAATACGAGTTGAATACTCTCGGAAGTGTTCCAAACTCACGGGTATCTGACTCTGTAATTTCCTTAAATGTCGGACACTGCATTTTATACAAAGCTCGCTTAAAAATACACTGACAATGAGAAAAATTGATAAGTAGAATTATTTCGTTTCGTATGGTATTATCATTGCTATGTAACTATGCTGACGAGTAAAAGAAAATAAATCGATACTCAGGAATGCTTTTAAGTGGGCGTAATTTGTTAAGTGATCCTTGAGTTCTTCATAAAAAAGTTTTGGTCAAAAAATTTTCATATTCTATTACCCTGGATGGGATTTGTTGGAAGATTTCTACCTTAACATGATGAAAATCCATATTAATCAAATAAAACTCGCCAAACGAGGCCTTAATAATAAATAATTTACAGTAAAACTTGAATAAAACGCCAATATTTAATAGTTTCGGTTTTAACTTGATGAGAATGATGTCAATCAAAAGAAGTAGTAGTTAGGTACCCTTGTATACTAATCATAATCATCATCATCATCGTCATCATCATCATCATAAGATTGTCAGTCCTAAGACTGGTTGGACACGCACCTCCAATTTTTCTTATCCTGAGCTATTCTTTACATTTCCCTAAAACTAGAATCCATAGCTATTTGTGAACAGTAATCTAATCTACGTCTATCTCTATTTCGTTCTGTTCTCCTATTCATTCTAATACTTCCTCATTTCTAACCTTCTCTATCCACGGTATCGAATAAAAAATCTAACATTAAACAAGAAATTGTCGCAACCAATTCATAGATGGCGCTATATGTAAAAGAATCATAATTCGAAACACAATGATGGGTACCACAATACCAGTTTGGATGCTAGAATTACAATTAATTAAAATATATAACTGTGTATCCATGGCTTACATTGATTTTTATGAAAAGTAAATTTAATACGGCGTAATCCGTCAACGACTTCTGATTTTTTTTTGTAGAGTTATACCTATAAACGTTTTTGTTAAGATATACGTAGGGATGGGATTGATATTGTTGCATATCTCTTTATTTCTGGCACAATAGAACAGCTTACTTCTGTCTTCTATTCTTCTATATCCTTTCATTGTTGTAGATACGCACGTATAATACATACATTATATTCTTTAGGTAAAAGTCTATTCAGTACCTATTGAATTCTATTTTGTTTCTCCTTTTTACCTTGGCTAACAATTGTTGTATGGAAGTTTATCATTTTTTTTTTTGCAGTTTTCGATATTCTTGCAATATGTTAACGTATAATATAATACTAGATGTGATTTTTCAATATATTTTTCATCCTTACGGATCAAAAAGTTCTTGCTAGTAACTGAAACTGTAGAATTCCTAACTGTTACATTAATATTAAAATCCTCGTTGATTTCCATATAAGGAAAAATTTTGTTTGCAATTATTTTATTGAAAATGCTGACCTATATACATGACTGATTTTATTAGCAATTGTGTTTTATAAATTCTACTAATTCTTTTATGGTCTTATAAAATTCGTTTGTGGGAAGAATAAAACACGTCCTTGTTAAAATTGTAGACCAGGTCTTTGTTCATTAATTATTATTGAGTACCTTTCAAACGTTAACATTTATTTTTTATATACAATAAGTAATACCCATATTTTGCGAAATTCTTAAAATGAATCAGTCTATAATTTTAACTGTTTCTAAAAACGTGTATCTTCTTAATTATATTTATAATATTACAAAAGGATACAGAATTATACATTTGTACGAATTCACATTTTATATGTAGAAATATTTTATTTTATTTAATTTAATTATTTAATAGCTGCACGATAAGTAATTTATTTTTAGCTTCTTCAATAGTATTACTGATTTCATGGAAGTGCAGTGTATTACGGTATAATTTTGAACATAATGTACTATTTCGATTGCTGTCTTTATTTATTTGCAGATTTACAAAAGGTACCAAAGTTAGCTTAATAGCAAATACAGTGTTAGTTTATTCATAAAGCGGGTCAATTTACATTTACGCCTTTATTAGATATTCTCATTATTATTTTGTAAAATGAGAATGGCAATAATTGAAATTGTTTGATATTGAGTAATGGTTGGCATAAACGTGGATCGTACTTACAATTAGACGAAATGATACTCGTTTGATTATCCGTTTTATTACCTACTGTAGGCTTTCGACATTCGGCTCATGTCAGCAATGACCGTGTACTAAAGTTTATACGTTGCGGTGAATGCAATTAATTGGTGAATTAATGATAACTAAATTATCCGGTTAAAGTAATAAATTGAAGAGAATTAATCAAATGCACAGTTGTCATTAATAATTCCCTTTGCTTGTTGGCAAATCTAAAATTTAATCTTTTGTGAAAAACACTTGTTAGATTGTATAATAGTGAGGTTTCTGAAGTCTCGTCTTTTCAGATCTTTTAAATGGTACATTCAGATTTTTATTGATGAAAGTAAATAAATAAAAAAGGATCGACAGACACACGAGTAATCCTATAAGGGTTCTGTTTTTCATTCAAACCTACGGGACCTTAACCCAAGAATCAAACTGTAAATATAAATTTATATGCACAGTTATGTTTTGTTGAACGATTTACCACGTTATGTTCAGACCATAGACTTCTTATTACTTTACCTGTAATCTAAAAGTAAAGAACTGTTTTCTGTATTTTTTTGCAAAATTTTAGGATCAGCAGTTTCAGAGATAATGGGGGAAATAGTCAATTTTCATTTATTTTCTTAAATAACTTTAAAAGTCTTTATCTCAAAATTATAAAAAAAAATATATTTGAGAACAACAAACTCTCTGATTTGATATGTCACATGGTACAGTTTGCAATTTTTTTATTTTATTGGCCCCGATGTTCAAAATTAATTTATTCACGTTATGATTCCGTGCTTGGGTTACAGAAATTCATATGTGTATTAGATTTCAACTTAACTGGTCCAACAGATTCGAACCAATTGACTGTGAAATATGGACAGACAGACACGCGAGTGGGTTCCGTTCTTCATTCGGACGTACAGAACCCTAAAAATGAAAAGAAGCTTGGAAAGTTTCTCTTTGTTCTTTGGGATTGTGCAGTTACGGTAGGTAAGGGGAACCTTTTAGCGAAACCGTAATTTCTATTTTAAAAATGTATAAGCAAAAATTCTAAATGCAGTTTAGTAATGAGAAAAAACAATTTAAACTATAATCTAACTTAAAGGTAAGTAAACGTTTTAATTAGCTAGTTACTTTATGTTTTTTAATAATCCCTTCAAATCTTCATTACCTTTCCACTCAATCAAGATACACCTAGTAATTTATTCAAATAAATAATATAATAAATCATTAATGCAATGTCGTAGGGTAGGGCAGAAGTCCTCCCTTTTAGGGATCCTGGGAATAAGTGGTTAGGGAGAGAAAAATGAGACGGACAAGTTAATGATCATATGTGGAATATCACTGCCCCAGCTAAAGGATTCAATGAAATTACAGAAAAACAAAATAGAAATCAGGATATTGTGACAATGAAATAAATGAGAAAAGAGCTTCATAATGCTCACATAAGAGATGCACAGTGGTGGTAAACTGGGGAATCTCTCTTTTTCCAAATGTAAATAACGAAAAAATAAACAAAAAGGGTCATCCTTCTTTTTACTTGTACTGTTTACTTATATCAAAGGAAATCCGAATAATACCATTAGACTTTTTCGGATACTTTTAGGCACCAGAAACCACACTTCTATTCAATTAGCGAATATTTTTTTGAATTGGTAAA